GCCCAAACATTCACCGAAAATGTTTGTTGAAAATGTGCCCGACGGACAGCGTGCAGATTTTCTACTGACCAAACATGAGTGTTGCGAAAGTTATTCACCCCATCACGCGTGAACGTAGATTCGTCTGTCACCAATATGCACTTCAAAAAGTTGATGCAACAACCACTCACAAAACCGCACTCTTGCTGGAAAATCGTCAGGTTGAAGGGCTTGTACACGTTGGACGTGAAACGGATACAGCCCCTCTTCACGCAGCGTTTGCCACACTTTAGTTCTTGATACTTGCACTTCTCTAGCCAAGTGTCTAGTGCTTGTTGAGGGATTCTCGTCTACGCGATTACCTCTACACGCGTGACCGTAACCGTCGGTTGAAGGTTGCATACTGACCTGACACACTGACCCCGACCCAGTTCTGTCGTCGGGTTGAGCTAGTGTCCCAGTATGTGTCGCGGCTACAGGACGGTATTCAGATATTTTTGATGTTGCAGAGCCCTTTATCTCGGTTCCCTTAAGACATTGGTGTATATGGTAGTAAGAAAAATTGCTTATGTTTTCAAGATCTACACGTCGTGTAAAGGAAAACCCCAACTTTGCGGACACCCTGTATATAATACTCTAATGCGTCTATTACAGTCTTTTCACGTCTTCAATACTTGTAACCATAAACCTTCAAAATACTGTGCATTTTTTTATTTGATGACATATCTGCACCCTGGCTATCATGCCAGCTTAAACGTATGATGAAAGAGAGAGAGACAGAGCTTTAAATCGGTTTAAAATTAATAAGACAGAAGATTCCTGGAATCGCTACAAAGAGCTCAGAATATCAACTTTAAGTCAAATTAGATATGAAAAAGCAGCATATTTATTATTCCTCCGTCAATGAAATGATTCAAAAATATTTTATAGATCCTTAAAATCAATGCGTATCCAACAGTCACAAAATACCGATATTCCTCTAACTTTAAAGAACCTTACTGACATTAATAGTTATTTCTGTTCCATTTTTAATAACGCCATTTGTGCATGCACAGAGAAGATTAACCATTATGAAAAGAATCACTATTCTAGTGATCGATTCAAGTTTAAACCAATCGACATGGCTGATTTAAAATCGATGTTCCAGTCTCCGAAATCGAATGCCTTAGGAAGCGATGGCGTGTCACTCAGAATGCTAAAACTATGCTTCTTTGCGATTTTAGGACACATTTTACACATCATAAATACCTGTTTAGTCAAGGGATTCTTTCCAGAATCATGGAAAGAAGCATTAGTGTAGCTAAAATAAGTACGCCAAAATTATTTTCTGATTTAAGACCAATTAGTATTTTACCTGTTTTGTCCAAATTATTAGAAAAGGCAATGTTCGCCCAAAGTTACGATTATCTCTCTAAACATAAAATTTTGCATCCCAAAGGCGGTTATCGAAAAGGATATAACACTGCAGGTGCCCTATTAGACTTAACTGATAACATTGTTAGAGCCTGGGATCAACAAACGATCACGTCATTAGTTCTTCTTGACTTCTCTAAGGCATTCGATACCATAAATCATCGTCTTCTAGTAGCCAAGTGCAAATATTTTGGTTTTTCTGAATCTGCCTCAAAAATGATTCAGAGCTTAGGAAATCGATATCAAAGGGTACACATTAACATGGTTCTATCTCCAAAGCGCCTCATTTCTTCCGGAGTGCCTCAAGGGTCTGTACTTGGGCCACTCCTATTCATTTTGTATATTTCTGATCTCCACTCAGTTGTTAAATATTGAAATATCCAATTCTTTGCCGACGATTCACAGATCTACAGTCATTTCCATAATCACGACATTCGAAATGCTGAATCTCAGGTAAATGAAGATATAACATCTATTAGTATGTATGCAAAAAATCATAACCTTCAGATGAACCCTTTAAAATCGAAAGTCATCATTTTTTCACCAAAACTATTCAGAAGTGATGCCAAAAGAAATTTTAAAGTAAAATTAAATGGTGAGACTATGGGTGTAAGTGCGTCAGTGAAAAAACTTGGGCGTAACTTTAGATGATTGTCTAAATTTTATACCACAAGTAAATAATATCAGTAAGAGTTGTTTTTCAATTTTAGGTCAATTATATCTTAATAAATAATTTCTTGACTTTACAAAAAAATTATGTGTGAATCTTCGGTAATGTTCAAAATTAGTTATTGCGATTTAGTTTATCTTCCATTTCTTGACTCAATATCTCTAGCACGTCTCCGAAAAATCCAAAACTCATGTTGTAGGTTGATCAATAATTTGAAAAAATATGATCTAATCAGCCCTTTTTTCAGTGACATGAAGTGACCCCCCATGACCCCCCCTGGATCCGCGCCTGTTCTTACTTCCCTACAGAGGATCTATAAAAGAATGTATCAATCCCGGCGGTCCTAATAATTATAATGGAAAACTGTTATTAAATTATTGCATTATCATGGGTCGTTGATACGCGAAGTTCCAATTTAATCAAACTTCTGAATATTGGTGAAAATTGTTCTCAAAGATTCCGTTACAATACATACATACAAGACAAGCTAATAAAAGCGTGTTAAAAAATGCTGTATACCTTTAGTTGATTCAGCTTTTTCGTCCTACATAAGCCACAGGAATACACGCTAGGATCATGAAATGTTGATTGATGTCTGGTTAATGCGTCGCTGGTCGGAAAACTCAGCGGACATGTCGGACATTTGAAAGCGGGATGCACCGTTTCTCTGTGCTCTCTAACCAACTTCTGTAACTTGAATCTTTGTCCGCATAAGCCACATGAATATGGAAGAAATGGATGATTTCGCTTTATGTGGCTTACCCATTCCTTTTCTGTTCTGAACGCCTCCGGACACTCTGTACACTTGCGGCGTTTGCTGGGATGCATGAAATACTTGTGTTGTTCCATCAGCTCTTGCGTTTTGTATATTTTTTCACACTCGCCACACGGGTATATGTCGGAACGGTGGACCTTGTCGTGGTGGATAGTCAACTCGCTCGCCGAACCGAAACCGCAGCGGCATTCTGGGCAAACAAAGTGCAACGGTTCGTTTTCGACTTTAACTGTCTCAAGTTGGATTGACCATGCAGACTGTTCCTCCAGTTTTGCTCTACAAAAATTCTTAATGAAATACGATAATCTGATAGAAAATTATGAGCTTAATGTAACATCTGGAACTTGTCCTGTGATTTGGTTGATAATCCCCAATGTCAAGTCCTAACCAGTACAACTGGGCTTAGGCTAGATTATGAAAAGGCTGCATTCTTTGGGGCGTATTTTCATGCCGTTGAGAAACACTTCATGGCTTACTGAGGCATTTGGGAAACACTAAAGGAACTGGTGTCGTAATATCATATATATTTCCGATTCATTCACGCTGGTGAGTCCAGCAAATCGCCACAAATCCGCAACTTTACCAGCGGTTGGTCCACGAATACCTCTCAGTTAGAATACTGCGAGGTCGTCGCAACGTTGCTGACGATGCGTAACGCCATAACAATCACAACTATAGGAACAATACAATCAGATCGGTTACAACATTTGGGCAGTAGTTATAACAGAAATGATAAACAGACGTTCTTTTCAGGGTTTTCGTAACTACCTAATAGTAAAGATAGTAAGACATACGAAAGTTGATTCGGATACACATCTAAAGTCCGTAATTTCATTTTTTTCCAATTGAATAACACTCGCCAGACCTAGCACCAAGCGACTTTGTCCCCTCATCTAAAAATGCCGAGTACTATTTAATAATAATAATATTTGCATTTGCAACATACAGTTAGGTAAAAATAGTACTAAAATACATTTAAATGAGATATGTTACAAAAAAGGGCATTTAAAAAAGATACAAGTTCAGCCCTTTACCCATTACACATTCATATATACATACACATACATACATATATGTATACATATATATATATATACATATAACTTGAGACGTGGTCATTGTCGTCTAGACCAGTTAGGTGAAAAATTAAAGCTTCCTCCTTTTGTTGGGTACTTCGACAAAATTTAAGCAAAGAGGACTCTTTATACTTTTTTTAATTCTCTCTAGCTTTCAATGGACTTTACCATCATCATCAGGAGCTGCAGGCAGTTGAATAAACTATATTTTAATTAATGGGAATTTTAAATTAACAATTATTAATAAATCGTGAGAAGAGAATTATTAGATTTTGAGTGGAATGAAATTTGTTGGTAGAATCGGCCAAAACACAGATTATATTTATGGTTGTGAAAAGTTGAAATTTGGGAAGATATGTAAGTTCTCCAATTTTTCGCAGTTTAGCAAATATGAGTAAATGACACTCAGTTGTTTAATATCTGTCTTTTTGTTGATACAGTTGTTATTCATGAAAATGAGGGACATTTCCAGGAATAAACGTTTGGAAAGGTGTTTTTCTTTCCTCTGGTCGGTTTAACAATTTCTTACATAACATTCTGAAAATCACATCATCTGAAGTGATTTGGCAACGTTTTGGCACACGCCCACAATTCGTTCCATCTTTCAACACAGACATTGACAACCTTCGGCCTTCTGTCAAAGGTTGATCTCACTCATTATTCCATAACCACCATTTTGTGCAATCATCAAGTGGCTTCACGACGTAATGCTCAAATGTTTTCTAAATAATTTTTAATCTGTCTTTAACTTGTCTTGTCATATTTTATATAATTTTAACCATTGTACCATGTATCCAGCTCTCACCATGTTACTGGACGTTTCCCTCATCCTATACGAAAACAACAATTAGCAACATCCTCACATACTACTGTAAGTTGATTCAATTTAAATTGATTTTAGACTTTTGTTGCTACTGTTATCATTGTAATTGCAGCTCCTGATGATGATGGCAAAGTCCATTGAAAGCTAGAGAGAATTGAAAAAAGTATAAAGAGTCCTCTTTGCTTAAATTTTGTCGAAGTACCCAACAAAAGGAGGAAGCTTTCACATATATATATATATATATATATATATATATACATATAGTATTCATAGCTAATTGCCTTAACTGTTAGGAGAAAATATCCTTTAATTTCTTTGGCTAGAAGGCAAAGTATTGCAAAAGTGCACTCTTATAACTTAAACTCTCAAGCTTTCGAAGATATATGTCTTCATCGTCTGGAGCTGGAAACAGTTATCGACAATAGCAACAAATAACAATTAGGAGAAAAATCATCAAGGACGTCTAGTGTTTTTAGTGTATGTTTAATATTTTACAATGTAATCAAATAAATTGTGAGACATAAATATTATTCCTTGTGTTATTATGTGTCAATACACCTGTGTTTACTTAAAGAAGCTCTATGTCGAAAATCTTTATGGCACACTCCACAGGAGTAAGTCTTGTCTTCTGTGTGGACGACCATATGATTTCTTAACGTGGATTTTTGTCTAAAACTCTTCGAGCAAAGGCTACATGCAAACGGTTTTTCATCACTATGAATCCTCTTATGGCCTTGCAAAGTATAATGCGCATTGAATCGTTTATAACAAATGTCGCATTTGTACGGTTTGTTATCTTCGTGAAGTTTCATGTGGTTACTCAGCCATTTCCTCGAGGATACTATCACGCCACATATACCGCAAACAGTCTTTTCGTTATGCTTGGCATATATGTGGTTTCTCAATCTTGGTTTGGATCTGAAAACTCGTTCGCAATGCGGACAATTGTGTTGTTCATTGCCATGCTTATCCACCCGATGTACTCTTAAAGCTGGCTTGCTAGGCAATTCCTTTCCGCAAATATCACAATGAAATAGACACTTTTTACTTTGCTCATCACTTTGGCCTGGGTGCTCAGAAGAGACGTGTTCTCTTAACATTCCCTGTAACTTAAATCTCTTCGTACATAGACCGCATTCGTATGGATGAAAGGTATTCAAATGGCTTTCCAATCGCTCCACTGTCTTGAACACTGCATCGCACACCGAACACTTAAAAATGCATGCTTCTGGATGCATAAAATATTTATGTTGTTCCGTTAGCTCTAGTTTTTTGTATATCTTGCCACATACATGACATGGGAATACATGGGTTTGTTCATGATGACTAGAGAATTCCTCTATCGTTTCGAACGATTCTGGGCATTCTATACACACCCATTGCGGATGTATGTCTTCAGTTTTGATGCTCAATTCTAAGATAGATGAAAAGGGATCTGCGTCATGTTGGGGTACTCTGAAAAAAAAAACAGTGGCTTCAAGAATGAATCTGAAAATGCACCGTCTAACGGTCAGAGACGGCTTTATTTATATGGAGCACATTATGTTCAGAATCAAATAAGTACTAAGATACCAACAATCCACGAAGACTAGAGATAGGAGGTTAAACTGTGTAAGGGATACACGTATTTGTATGAAGTCAATCCGGATACCCCACAATTTTTTCAAATAATAATGATAATTGTTATTGTTATCGTACACCTTCATCAGAGAAGATATGAAAAACCTGATTCGTAATGCAATACGTAACATACCGAGAGCCAAAGTTGATGTTGTTTTGACTATCCATGAGAGGGCTTCAGGAATGCATAGAGAGTGATGGTCAGCATTTCGAGCATTTACTGGGGCATTAAGAAACTTTCTTTTTTAAATCGGTCCTTTTTAGGGCCACAACTTAATGATAAAAAGAAACTCCAGAAAAATTGGTTTAAAAAATAAAAATTCAAGGGATGACTTTTTTTGGCCTAAACTCTAGGTTAGGAATAAGATATCGAGATGCGATTTTCGCGAGCTCGTTTAGACATCATTTAGCTAATTTTTCATAAAAACAATCATGTCAATGCATTTAGTTTTTTGAGAAAATTAACCATTTCTGTCGGAATTTCGAGAAAAGCCCTCTAGCGGTCGCATGTAAAAATAATAAAACTTCAAAAATTATAACATCTGTAGCCGAAAAATAGTTCTTTTCTCTATCCCAAGTTTGTTAAAATCGGCTCAGCTGTTTCGAATACACAGGGTGTTTTTTTACGGAAACCTTTGGATACTACCCACGACTTTATTTTTAGACGCACAGGAAACATTGTCGAAGAAAAAAGGTTCAGATTATCCTCGAATTTAAGGATCAGGTATTTTTCTGTTAGGAGTTCACAGAAACATCACTTTTTTAGATTCAAGATTGCAGTTACATCCCCTACCGGCCAATTCAGAACCTTGAAAATATTTTCCAGGGTTTTCTCTTGGCCGTTCTAACAGTAACTGTTTTATCGCAAGCCTCTACGATGGACAGGTTCCCAGATAGCAGCACTTCGCTTTCTTAGTTGGCCACCCTGTTTATGATATCGTTTGACCTGACTTATTGTGATATACAGTGGAATCTAATAATGAACTTGCTTACAATGGGAACCCGTATATAATGGACACAATTTAAGGTCCTATAAATAATTGCATATAAAATCCTCGGATATTATAAACTCGCTTAAAATAGACCCTCAACTTGGTCACCATTGTTATAAAGGGTTGTCCAATAGGGACGCAGGAAAGTAAACGTCAATTTGACATAGACGCCATCTTTGTTTTCTGTCACCGACATGTCATTTTGTTAGTTGAATGTTTACCATTGATCGCTATGGAGTCGTATTCGATTGAAGACCGCATTAAAGTTATTCAAGAGCACTACAAAAATGGTGCAAAAATAAAAAACACGTTTCGCGCGCTTCGTGAACATTTCGGTCGCAACAACCGCCCAAACGAAACAACCATCGGTCGTCTGGTGCGTAAATTCGAGGCAACAGGTTCTGTGGCAAATCTGCCAGGCTCTGGCCGGCCAAGGAGCGTTCGCACACCGGAAAATATTGCTATTGTGAAGGAGAGTGTGAGAGACGATCCGAAACAATCAACAACGCGTCGATCCCAAGAATTGGGCATTTCGAGAACCAGTTTGCTCCGCATTCTCCACAAGGGTTTCAACGTACACGCCTACAAGATCCAATTGACGCAAGAGCTGCGTCGGGCCGACCATTTTTCGAGCCGAACGTTCTCAGATTGGCTCCTTGAACACCGCCAAATTGATGCCAATTTTTCATCAAAAATCATGTTCAGCGACGAAGCGCATTTCACTTTGAATGGGACGGTAAACAAGCAAAACTGCCGCATCTGGCCGAACGAAAATCCCCGTGAGTATCAAGAGCAGACGATGCATCCTCAAAAAGTGACTGTGTGGTGTGCATTGTGGTCAAAAGGCATCAACGGACCTTACTTTTTCGAAAATGCGGCCGGGGACGCCCATACCGTCAATTCTGAGCGATATCACGTGATGATAGAGGACTATTTTCTGCCGCAACTTGAAGGAATGGATATGGACGATGTTTATTTCCAACAAGACGGTGCAACATGCCACACAACCAACGTCAATATCCATCGATTGCAGTCCTTCTTCGGTGATCGCGTGATTTCGCGCAGAGGAAATGTGCCATGCGATTTGACTCCCTTGGACTTCTTTTTATGGGAATATTTGAAAAGCAAAGTCTACGTCAACAAACCAGCCACCCTCCAAGAACTGAAAAACAACATCATTGCCGAGATAAACGCCATAGAACCGACCATTTTGCAAAATGTCATTGAAAATTTCGACCATCGCGTGGACGTCTGTAAATCCAGTCGTGGTGAACATTTGAGCGATATTATTTTTCATACATAAATGGTATAAATTAACCTTCAAAATAAAGTACCCAACTTGATTTGAATATCAATCTTTCTTGTTTTAATATGCGTTTACTTTCCTGCGTCGGTTTTGGACAACCCCATACTATATTTATTAGAGTTATAAACATGTCGAAAAGTGCGAATCGTGCATTCACTTTACACGAAAAATTCCCAATAATTAGTGAGCTTGAGCAGGGTTCATCTCAAACAAATATATGTGCCCGTATGGCTTCATAAAAATATTTGTAAAAACCGTGACAAAATTAAAAATGACTGGAAATCAAATAGTGCACCCCAAGTCGATGATATGCTGTTTAAATGATTTCAACAAAAGCGTGTTAATAATATTCCAATAAGTGGACCTATGCTGCAAATAAGGACTGAAGAATTTGGGAAATTGATTGGAGATTACTTCAAATGTAGTTCCGGTTGGCTAGACAGATTTAAGAAAAGACAACATTGTTTTTGGAAAAACGTGTGGTGAGTCAGCTTCAGTTGACAAGAACGTTACCAATGACTGGATTTCTCAAGTTTGGCCCGTAATATCTAGTGATTATTCAGATGATAACATATTCACTGCAGATGAAACCGGGATATTTTATAGAATGCTACCAGATAAAACTCATAAATTAAAAGGTGAAACTTGCAATGGAAGGAAACTCTCAAAATAGCGAATAACTGTTATGATTTGTGCTAATGCTTCTGGTACTGAAAAACGGAAACTATTGATAATAGGTAAGTCAATGAATAGAAATGCAAGTCCTAATTTTTTTGATATTCAATGGCAGTGCTGCAAAGAATTCATGACCTTTTTTTTATTTCCCTGAAATTTTGTACCTGATTTGCACTGACCTGTTGAACTACTTACTTGTGTAATAATTATACGTTTTACTTCGCTGAAAAAACTGTGCTTTTTTGTATTCTAACTGTATTTTTCTGCACTGGTTGGTGCTGAAAAGCTGGTACATAAAAGCATTTTATTATTATTGTAACATTTGTATATTTCTCATTTCAGTATTTCACAACGTAATAAAAAGGTTATGTTATTTCTTTCGCTTTGATGGATATATTCACTTTATTCACGACCAGGAACAATACACTTAAGATCAAATAATGAAGCTTTACGTCGAAAATCCTTGATTCTTCAACGTTGACATATGCTCAACGTTGTTCGCCCAGAGAAACATGAATACGGCATTTCACCAGTATGAATCCTGTCATGGTCTTCCAAATTATTACTTAAAGGTGGCCATCAGTTGTTTTTTTTAAATTGGTATTATTTTGACAGTTGGTAACACTTTCATGCTCGACATATTGACAGATATATTGTGTCAAACTTCCGCTGTGAGCAATGGAGCGTTTTAATCTTGAACAAGGTAGGAAATATTCACTGCGGAGAATATTGCATAACGACCTCGGATTATTTCCTAACAAGGTGCAAGTTGAAATAAAATGACCCTCCGCTTTGATATCGTTTGTCAATTGGAAATGGACGTCAATTTTGGTCGCCAAATCATCTTTTAGGACGAGGCCCACTTCCATCTGGGAGGTTACGTTAACAAGCAGAACTGTAGGACTTGGGGTCTAAAAATCCACATGTCGTCATAGAAAAACCGATGCATCCAAAAAGGGTAACTGTTTGGTGTGGCTTTTGGAGTGGTGAGATTATTCGTCCCTACTTTATTCGAAATGAAGATGGTAACAGTCTGTCGGTAAACAGGGAACGATGATGATTTTTTTATGGCCACTATCAGCGGTTTTGGAGACGTTCATTGTCCAGCCCGCAGCTGTGATTTGACGCCTATGGATTACTTCCTATGGGGTACTGTTAAGGTCCGCTATTACACTCACGATCCTCAAACGATTGATGTTCTTAAGGGAAATATCCGTCGAGCTATTGATGAAATAGACCCACAAGCTATCGAAAAAGTGCTTCACACAAATAATCGGAAGGTATATTCTTTTGAATGAAGTATGGAGTGTTACATACTATTGAAGAGTGTAGTTTCAATACCAATTAAAAAAACACCGGATGGCCCACCATTTATTACTTGCAGGATTTGGTGGCTTCCTGTCGTCTAATGTAACAACCCTGACCGTATCGCAAACATTTTTGCCTATTAATGTGCTGGATCAATCTTGCCTCGTGTATGAACACTTTTTTACAATATGGACAACTGTGTCGTGAATCGCCGTGCTTATCCACCCGATGTACTTTTAGAGACATTTTCGTAAGCAAGCCCTTTTTACAAATGTCACACGGGAAAAGAATATTCCCACGTGGTTTTCTTCGTCGGTGTAAATGTTCAGTCGATTCATGTTCTTTTAGCGATGTCATCAGTTTGAATCTTTTTCCGCATAAGCAACATTCGTATGGTTGGACGTTTCTCAAATGGGCGTTCAACTGCTCCTCGGTTTTGAACACCTTAGGGCACTCCGGGCATTTATAAACACATACTTCCGGATGCATAAAATATCTATGCTGCTTCACCAGTTCTAGTGTTTTGTATATCTTGCCACATACATCACATGGGAATACATGGACGACTCTATGGTGTCTGGAGAATTGTTCTATACTTTCAAAAGACTTTGAGCATGCTATACAATCCCATTGACGTATGTCTCCAAGATTGATGATTGCTTCTGACAAAGGATCTGCATCACCTTGGTTTTTCCTGAAAGAAATCGTATTATCATAATGAGCTCCATATCATTAGACCAGATTTTACTATTGATCCGCGATATTGAAAATGCGTTTTTCTAGCGAAAAAATATAAGAGTTGGGAAGAAAGGCCTCTAAACCTCATATTAAATCAAGAATTTTTTTATAAATCAGCTGGTTTAGCTACAAAAAACATATTTTTGCACTTAATCCTGAGATCAAAACCTATGATCCGGATCAACATCGACCAATTAAAAAGCGTTTTCGTTATACTGCATGAAAAATTGTAGATGATAGAACCAAATTCAAGACGAAAATATACACCTGAGAAAATTGGGAAAAAGATATATCGGTTGTTAATTAGGTACAGATTTCAACAACGTATACTAAGTGACATATAAATCCCCAGTTTAAATGGTTTTATTTTAATAAAATTTTGTATAAGTACTTAATGACGCATAATAAGTAAATGATGAAAATTTCAAAATGATTGCACTGCTTTAAAGCCCTTTGACCTTTAATAATGTGTGGATGCACCCTGATGTGCTACGCATTCTCCGACGCGCCTAGGCATGTTTCTGATCAGGTGGTCAATGTCCTCCTGTGGTATCTCATTCCAGGCAACCACCAGCTCCTCTCGAAGTGCTCCTAGAGTCTGAGGAGGACGTTGCACATTGAGCAATCTCCTACCCATCATATCTCACACGTGCTCAATTGGGGATAAGTCAGGAGATCTTGGTGGCCATGGTAACAATGTGACATCATTATGTTGAAAGAAGTCTATTGTGACTCTTGCAACATGTGGTCGGGCATTATCTTGTTGGAAAGTTGGATCTGCCAGGGTGTCAAGATAGGGTAAAAGATGGGGTTCTAGAACTTCGTGGATATAACGCTGCGCGTTCATGTTACCTCTGATGAAGATTAAAGGTGACCTGGAACCATAAGCTATGGCACCCCAAACCATAACTCCAACAGTGTGATGAACATGTCTTTCAACAAAAAACTGTGGATTCCTCCTTTCACCACGTCGCCTTCTAACCCTGGCACGACCATCCTGCATGCCTAAACAAAATCGAGACTCGTCACTAAAGACAATACTGTTCCATTCCTGATCCCAGAGTGACCGTTGTCTGCACCACTCAAGGCGATTACGTCGGTGTTCTCGAGTTAAAGGGAGGACCCAGTGTGGCCGGTATGAAAACAAGCCAAAACTTCTCATTCGTCGGTAAACACTTCGCATGCCAATAGGTATTCCGTGTTCTGCAAACCATTCATTTGCAATGGACCTGGTAGTGGAGAAACGGTCCCTTAAGGCCAATAATCTTAGGCGGCGATCTTCACGGTCTGTTGTTCTACGGCGGCGTCCAGTGCCTCTTGCTCTTTGCGTACGGCCTTCTCGAAGCCATGCCTGATAACACCTAACCACAGTGTCTACACTTCTTTGCACTCTAACTGCAATTGCCCGAAAAGAAAGTCCAGCTTCCCGAAGTCCCACTATACGGCCCCTATCAAACTCACTAAGTTGACGAAATCGTACAGGTCTCCGTACTCTAGGCATCGTAACCGATCGTAAAGGATGTCAAGAACCAAAATCCGCCAACGTTGATTCTTTACTGCGGCTGAAATTTTCATTTTTAGAGCGTTAGTGAATTAAAAAAAAGCAGTATAAAAAACGGAATGTCCAACTGATAAGGCTGAAAATGTTTTCACTTGTTATTTACAGTAAGATAAATACATTCACCAACTTTTATTAAAATAAAACCATTTAAACTGGGTGTTCGGATTTATATGTCACGTAGTATATTTATCTTCCATTATAACATTTGTTGCTGCTATTCCTAATCCGCTTGACAGTTGATACATTTGCAGTGCTGCCAAGCTAGTCACAACAAACATGAACGATATGTATTAACACACAAATGTTTTTTATGTTAACAACATAGTAGTTGAACCTAATAACACTTATTTTTCAATTCAAAGAGTCAAAATGAAGTGTAATACTGCCAATCTAACGTTCATTTTGTGGATCTACCGTGATTTCAGCCTCATTACTTTCAGCTGAACGTTGTTGAATTTGATGTGGTAGCACTGGGCAGTTCTGTGAGTAGACAGCTCAGCTGCACAAGGCACAGATTTTAGTAATAGTGAGTATATACAAGGTGGGCCAACCATTGGTGTCTCTTTTAAATTGGTATTAAAACTACACTCTTCAATAATATGTAAGTCTCGATACTTTATTCAAAAGAGTACACCTTCCGATTATTTATTAAAAATAATTTCAGTTAATTGGCTGCCGCGACTTTCCAGACAGTAGTCCATCCTCTTAACCCAATTTTGAAGCACATTTTCGATAGCTTGTGGGTCTATTTCATCAATAGCTCGACACTCACACTGTTAGCATCTTCATCTTAAAAAAGTAGGGACCAATAGTCCCACCACTCCAAACAGTTACTCTTTTTGGATGCATTGGTTTTTCTATGACGACATGTGGATTTCACTGGACAACAAATTTTAGTTTTTTAATTGTATCTTGTGGGAAAAGTGCACTTCTTTGTTAATTTTGGGGCGCAAAATCCAAAAATGACAATGAAATAAAAAAATTAGTTGCGGTTTAGAAAAAAAACTTTTTATTTTTAAGGATATATTAAAAAAAAGTAACAAGATTCATATACTTATAAGAATCACTATATGCGCTGCCTTTTTGCTGTTCTTTTATGGATCGTTTCTCTAGCATCTCTACCAAGAGTCCAACAGTAGTCTGCAAGCATGGAAGGATTCCACTTTCACTGCTACCTTTTTTCCATTGTTGAAATATCCTGATGAAAGTTCGCCGTGCTCATCACTTACGGCTCCGCAATTGTCAGGAAAAAAGTCCAGGTGTGAGTGTAGGAAATGTACCTTAAGAGACATATTACAGCCCATCTTTTGATATGATGACAGCATATTTTTGACAAGGGTGTTATAGTTGTCAGCTTTTCTATTTTCCAAGAAATTAGTGACCACCAGACGGAAATCATTCCAAGCAGTTTTTTCAATACCTGTTAAAGTGTTTTCAAACTGTGTATCTTTCAAAATATTTCGAATCAGTGGCCCAACAAAAATACCTTCTTTAACCTATGCCTCACTTAGTCTTGGAAATTTCTGACGCAGGTATTGAAAAGCTGACCCATCTCTATCTAATGCCTTGACAAAGTTTTTCATTAGGCCCAACTTGATATGCAGTGGTGGTAATAAAAATTTTTTCGAATCTACTAATGGCATATGCTGTACATTTTTTTGACCTGGCTCTAGGAATTG